CGTGTGTACTCGACGTAAGTAGACCATATACGAACCTTGTTGACCATCTCGTTTTTCTCAGGCGTTTTCCTGTATATAAGACATTTCCAGTTATAAATCATAGTCTTTTTATGATGCAGAACTAATCAATTACCTCAGAGAAATATCTATTCCTTTTGCTGCTTCATATTGGTGTAAAGCCATTGATCGTGATCCGTAATAATCACATCCTTTCAAAAGGTTCCTTATTTTAAACTATCAGAATTAAAAAAAAAGTGCTTATGGAAGTCGATATCGTATGAGATATTTAAGCATGACGGCACAATTATTTACATGATAAATAATGCCTACCTTAACGTCACTGTACATACATCGTTTCCATGATGTACTGAATCTCGATTGAGGATTACTGCGATGTACACTCTAGGTTTGCCTCCCACCAGCGTTCCAAAAAGGTGTCCCAACCTTTTGTTGGCTTGACTCGTAAGACAACGTATTTTGAAATCAAATATAACGCGAATACACAGTGTTCTCTACACATTTTACATTATTTACTCAATTTTTTCCACATCGGAAAATATCCGCATCTTCTAGAATTTAGGAGTTGTCTTTCTTGTTGTGCTTCGTTGCGGAAGCTTACGTATAAGAGGTAACTATTCAGGATACTCTGATATCTTCAATACTTTTTTAACAACTATTTTTGATTTATTAATTTACTGCGTAGGTCTAATCAGGGGGTTAACTTTATATCTCTGAGGTTGTGTTGATGGCAGAAATCTCAATAACAACAATAACTGTGCTCAGATATCAATTTTACTCGCAGCTGTTTGCCTCTGAAATTCATCCGTTGTCACGACACACTTCTGTTGACAATTTATGTTGCATTCATATTGTTATATATGATGCGGAACTGCAATGATTCGATTTTTTTTTTTCTTGATTTTGAAGTTTGCATTTACACTGTATGATATGCTGTCAGATAATAATTTTTTTTCCTACAAGCAGAAAACCTATTTTATAGTTGTAAAGGTTGGTCTATTACTTCCTCGGCATGCTATTTTCTGTTTAGTCGATGTTCAGCATCCTTCCGATACAACGATGAATTTGTCTTTTGTTTTGAGATACGTCAATATTTAATATGTCAGAGGAATTTATTTACGTGCAACCTGTATGGTTATTTCGATGGTACATCGTTTCTTAATGACAAAAAAAAAAAAAAAAAGGTGAATATTAGTATACAAGTACAAGAATACTATACTGCTAGAGGGATAAGAATATAGATACATATAGGTATTTATTTCTAATTTATCAATTTCATCGAAAAGCACAATACGAAGATAATATATTGCAAGAGGTAATATTGGCATTCATGTCTTAAATATAATTTTACTTGAGCAACCTCTATGAGGCGTTGTCACAGGCTCAAAGCGAGATGTGGCTTAATATTCAATACGGTATATTGGAAATGTCCTATTAATCGCCTGTTCGTAAAAGGCTTAGACCTATGTGTGAACATTATTAAACTTCGCACTTTGAAAAACTCCCTGGGAAAGGCCGGTGTGTTTAAAGAAAAAACGTTGTCTCGATAGTTGTCGGCGTCGTTGGAATTACACATTGCACAAATCGAACTCATTCAGTTTCGCCTATAGAAAGTCTTTTGACGCCTTTCGGTGATCATTAATATTTATACAAACATTAATATTTTGTGTCCAGAGTCCGCAGTATGGAATTATTTTAGCTCATAGTGATTGTTCGTGGGTTTTATATTCTTCTATGAATCAGTTTTGCTGATCCAGTCAAGCAGCAATACAAATATACCGAGATGATAATTTTTCATATAAATTACATTCGCACTGTATAAACCTTATAAATAAAAGGCCTCGATATCTGTTTTTCGAGAAGTCCGAATAAAATCCATGGTAAAATAACACTCTTGACGAGTTCTTATGAACAGTACATCATGCACATACTGGACTTCGTTATAGTTTGAAAGATGGATACATCGAAAGTAAATGATCCTATATATGTACATGTATGCGTGCACGTATACACGTGCCGCTCCTCTCAGAAACAGCTCTAGCAACGTTTACGATACGTTGCGTGCAGACTTGACTAGTCAAAAAAAAAAAGCTGCCATGATGAATACGACTGATTTAAAATAAGTTGCTCTATAATGAGAAATGTAATAACTTTATAATGGCCTGTAATGCAGACCGGTAAGACGGCGGTTTCATTAAGAGCGCTTTGATCTCTAAATGGTTAACGTTACTTGCTTTGATTTACCTGTACACAATAAGAACGATAATAAGCACGATACTATATTTTCAAAAGAAAATTTTTTCAATCTCTAGAAAGCGGTTGAAAACATTTGAGAAATATTACTACACCTCTTACTTGTTTTTCCTCCCAAGCGGCCTAATATACCACTAAGTCTTGATAGTATCGAGACGACTGCAAGGGCATAGAGATTCAGTTTTAGCACACCGATCGTTTAATTACTATGATAACGTGGGGTATTTCACACAAAGACATGGGAAATCTGCTGCGGCATTACAGGAGAACAGGGGATGAAAATGGTAGATTCTAATCATGCTTACTAAACAATTGAAACAAGATTGCTGGTGCAGGGAATCGGATCTATTAGGGAATGGGACATCAGCGTGCCGTAACGAAATGACTCTAACGGACTTACTGAAGCAGGACAGTGAATAAGTGAATTAAGTTTACAGTAAAGTGAACGGTAATAGGACGACTACAACGGGATGGTTCGACAGAATGGTAACATGCCCCAGTGAATTAAGGTTCAGGGTTCACATGCTGACCAAACGAAGCTGCACGCACCCAGTTCGATCGGAAAATAAAGCAAGTAACAGAATTTTTCTCGTAAACGTTTTCGTATGCGTCTCGTAAACATTTTCAATGGAAATCATACGCGGTGTCTTGGAGGAACAAGCTTATGGTCTGCCCGTTTTTAGGCTTAAGAGAGCAGCTTATGCCCACGGTGCTATTTCTTTATCAAACAAAGCGAATGTAGAGGCCAGTCGCAATAATAATAATATATCAGCTTCTTCAAGTGAATCACAAGTACAGACTCACGCAGATGTGACTAGAATCAGAAAGCGTATAGCCTCAGGTCGCCGACATCATCACTATGCTAAATCGATACACAATACATCTGCCATCTCTGATAAAATTTGCTCGTATTATATATAAGAACGACGAAACGTGCGTGCAAACTATAAAAAGAACGTGAAGTTTATCTGCTATCAATTTGTATTATATTCCCTCTTTTACCATAACAATAAAACACCACTGCCGTTGAATGTATGCAAATAAATACAATAGTGGATTAAGCTTCGCTATAATTCTGTTTCTGTCTCAGTTCCAGTGCTGCCGGACTTTCTTAGCGAAATCAATGGATCCGATAACTATAGCGTCGTGACGTCGTCGGCACCATCAAATGATTCGTTACCGGCGACTTCCGTTCAAAATGGAATTAATTACTTCATGAACGAATCCTCAGACCCGATAACCTCACGCATATGTACAACGAACGATGTAACAGGCAGCAATCCGCAGTAGCTTTGGACATGTTTGACTTAATTGTCGTTATTATAACAACCCATATAGATTTACTAGTGGAACTTGGATGGTTTTTATCTTTTTTTTTCCTGCATCTGCACATACATATTATAATAGTGCATTGTATTTACATGCTATTATCTAAACTAATATATATTTATATTATGTAGAAACTTTACCAGCAATTTATACCTGTTGCACCAATTTCTCAAGTAGTTTGCGTATCAATCCGATATTAATAATCATACGAATGGAATAGCACGTCTGTCATAAAAGTGTACAAATGTGCAATTATCGAGAGTATACCACAGCCATAGGATCCTCGAAGCCATTCTCACTTAATCTTACATCTGGTCCAATTAGGACCGTGCAACTGAAATAGCAGCGTACATCTCCGCCACAAAAGCCCTTGTCCAACTGTTTGTCACGCCTGCCGTTGGCCTTATCGCGTCAAGGCGAAGTCACCGTACGGTGCTCTCGTGGGCTGTCTATCTACTTACGATCTCGTGCCTCGGTAAAAGTTTCTTTCTATATACTTTACATTACTATAGCAGTATACCTTACAATTGAAGATCGCCCATGTTGTTTACTAATTCACAACGATATTGACCTAGGGTTAGTGTCTTATTCTTACCTTTGAGGTTTCATAATCAACCATGGTTATACTTTGAAAGTAAAGAAGCATTTCTATACTATTACCACCCTTTGAGGGGGTGGAATATTTCGCGAAAAGTATTTCTATATTTATTTGTGTGCTAATTGTATGTGCAGTTTTTTGTATAGCAAATAGGGTCTGGCACATTATCGTGGCTAAGATCCTCCACGGATTCGCGTCAGCTGGCATAGCTATTTCAGGTGAGTAAATATACGTTAGAAACGTGTTTTTTGTTCAATGAATGTTTTTTTTTTCCGATTATAAGGTTGTGCTGATAACTGCTGGCTAGTGACCGCGAGATTGTTTCTATGTTAGAATAGTATTTCCATGAAAGAGATGACACATTGAAAGTATTGAGAAGCCGACACATTACGAATACGTCGTCTAGATGTTGCGAAGACAACCTTGAAGTTGTCGAACGCAGCGCTAGAGGTGTCTTAAGTGCCTATTTTCAATTTGAGTTGACCGTACTGTATCCAACAAAGCATGTATACGAGTAGGGTTTATTTTACGAAACGTACTGAAGTTGCAAATCTGTTCCACCATTAACGCTGGAAACCCCCTCGCAACACTAAGGGCACCTATAGAATTTCTGGGCTACTCTCTGGTAATAACAATCGTTTGTGATTGCCCCATTCACCAGTCTCATTAGTTACCAATTATTAGTTTCAATACTGCGCTAATATATTTATGTGGTTGAAGAGATCGCCACTGAGTTCATATGATACAATTTTTCATTTGTGTCATTATGTATGTTCTACATGTATTGGTCGTATTGGCGGAATAAAGTCCATCCGTCATGGCCGAGCCCCAGATTCATAAGGCCACGTTCTGTTGGGTCCAATCCAGCATTACTTAAGAAATTGTTTTACGGGACGGAATCGGTAACAAGAGGAACAACAGCGGTGAGATTCGTGTTTTATGCAAGTTCGTTCGGCCTATTTTTTTCGTAGTAAGCATCAATCTTCGCCCGTGTACTTGATGCCATGATATATTTTCATCGAAGCATCCGTTATGCATTTCGATCACAACTAGATATTGCGGATAGCATAAGTGGAGTCACATTATTCTGCCTAGGTACACGTTCGATGTCAACGACGAAAGCTTCGGCAAGGACATGTCCAGCTCCGATTTGCGAACCTTTGTTGTTGCTTGTTTACTCTGTGTAAGGACAAACGTAAATGACACCTTCGATAGCGAACTTACATGTGGTGCAAAGTTGAAAAATACGGCTATTTCAATCGTGAGCAGATCACGCATATGGGCCAGCCCCTCTTTGAAAAGCACTGGTATGGAAATTACTATCTGGTCATTGACTGTATGTACTACGAGATTAGTTTCTTTACCTCTGTCGGATTATGTACGTTAGGTAACACTGAAGTTAAAACGTTTTACAGTCGATGCTATTTTCTCTATATATGCTATGTCGCAGCATTTGCGACGCAAATACTGCGACATAGCATTATTATTAATTCTACTGGCTTTCACTCAGTGAAGGTATCTCAAGATCACCGTTTACCAACATTGTTTTGTAGGACACTACATACGATTGGCCACACATATAGAACAATATTCACTCGGCAACAGGTAACTAACAAATTACCTGATGCGCTACTGCATTTGTCAAGTGTAAAACATGTGTTGTGCGAAATAATTCGAAAATCTTGGCTTTTTTTAGGCAGACAATCCTCGATGACGATTAATTAGTTCTTATTACTTATTTTCAGCTCTAAGTTCGATCGCTGAAACGTACAGTGATGATGAAGAGCTTCGCACGAAAATTATCGGCCGCGGTATGGGTGCAGTCGCAATGGGTGTGCTTGGTACGTATTTGTGTTTCAGGCCAGCAATGAGCCTCCTAATTAATACGCATTTCTCAATTTAAACCAATTAGCTGAAGTGTATATTTTTTTCGGAGTAACTATAAATTGTAACAATTTACGACTCTCGAACTGTGCAATTTTTATGTATTACGTTGCGTCCCCGCGCCCCAATTACGTTGCTTTGATTGGTTTAGTGTATAAGCATTTTTTGCGTCAATATTAACAATTTCTACGTTCTCTAAGCTCATTATTAGTGATCTGTTCTCCTTCTTCTTCATTATTCAACACTCGAAGACGTGATAGGATTATAGGTGTAATTTTGAGAAAAACATGGATGCTTTTACTATTTACATAATGTAATCTACTATTTTAGTTTATCAAACCATCCTCCGTGACAATGATTATATCTAGGCACCCTGAGGAGCTAAAAGATCCTGGTTTCGCAGCCAATTCTAGTTACTGCTGGTTAGATAATTAATACAAAGCTTTAGTGTTTAAATTTTTATTACTATCACATGCAATACCTTGTATATGGATAGCAAAAGCAACATGAGCATAGTTTCATATCAGATTGTTGACATGATTAATAGCTTGCAGTGGGGCTATTTTGGGTCATGGTCTGAAAACGGATCACATCCGTTATATGCCGAATATCGTTAGGTCAGTGGTGACTAGAGCCCTACTTTTTGCCGAAGCATGACCCATCACACCCCGCATATATACGCTAGCTATCTAAACCATATATAATGGATCATACGTCCATGAAAACGGCGTTTCAATGTTGGCCCGAACGAAGCCAGCAAATATTCAACAATCACTGAGAGGTAGTAGCCTGCCAGCCATCGTTGGCGATCTATTTAGGACAAATAAAAGAAAACCTAAAATTAAAACGGACGATTGTTAAGGGCAAATGGTGCAAATCAGCCCTTGAAAATTTATCACTGCTTTGCTTAATAGTAAAAATACCCATGCACTTCCTGCGCACGTGCGAAGAAACTGAGTCGAAATTTACGCGGTTATCCTACAGCTACGCTCGTTCCTCTGATGAGGTTGAGACCCCCATTGTATACTCTGATCAATTGCTACCGAGCTTACCATAATGGCCCTTGCCCATCCGAATTTATCTTTAAAGGCTGAATACCAGTATTACGAAGGTTATACGACGAATCAAGCGGTTAAAATACATTACTTCTATGGTCATTAAGACTTCCGACCGTAACGGCTCCGTAATAGCCCAAGGCTAATCTCTACCTGTCTGACTTCTGCACGACGAATTTGAATACTATAAAGACTTTTCCAACTGGTTCCATACAGAAAATGCCTTTGCGAAATGTAGTCATCAACCAGTTAAGTACCAATCTAACAACTAAGTAAGTAAGTACTAGGCAAATTAGAAACCCTGAAACCAGTGCCTAGAATGTGTAGCGGTGTCTGGAAACTGGGATCTGGGATCGCCTGAAGTTCGTAATGTTTTCCGTAAGGCGATTCAAGTTGGCGTTTATCATAATTAATTTAAATTAGCTTTCGTTAGGTGTAAAACATAACTATAGGCTTTCGAAATTTGCTAGTTGAGAAGGGGCACTCTCTCCGTTTGAAGTTAGCATCGTTTCCGTCGGTAAAGGTCCGAAACTAAGCACAGACATGCGCACGTATGGCTGAATAGTTGATGCTTGAGGATAACTCTATATAATAAATTTCTGCTTGTTTCAGTGGGCTATCCATATGGCGGAATTATATATTATCTGCTGGGGAAGAACGCCGTTTTCATTGGCGTATTGATCATGATCATACCTGTGCTAAGTAAGTCTCTTGAATGCATGGATAATATAACAGCATAAAAAAGTTCAGAAAATGAATTGCAGACGCTAATAGTATTGAGCTTACTGATCTTCGCATTATTATTGACCTGGATTCCTCTGATTAACCATTAAAACATAGCTCAATCGTTCAATGACGACACGACAATACGAGAAGCATCGAACAGGTAATGCAGACGTATTGCATGCATTCAAATATGTCTTGGTATAGAAAATAGTGATCATTAGAACACAGCAGTAGAAAATGAAACAAGCTTAAATTTAACTAGTCGTACTTTAAGGTATATGTAATTCTTCCTTAGCTCAACGGAAAGCCGTCTTTGATCGAATGTATAGAAAGATATTTTTTCGCAAGGCTAACTTGCGTGTTTCGAAAACTAGCTCGCGTTTACCATACATTCATTGACAGTCACTAAAAATGAACTTCACTAGATAAACATGATATAAACTGATAAGCACACAAAACAAAGCTAACATGTGTGGCCAATTCATTTCAGCCATCACTGTGACGTCGTCTCTTGTAAATCAAGTCGACTACGAGTGTATTCAGGTTCGAAGTTTCTACGACGTTGACTTCATTGCCAATGGCCAGTTGTTTTGCTATCGTAATACTAATAAATTCCTGGCTCGTGTATCCGATTAGGGTTAAAAAAAACAAATTACTATGACTTTGAATTCGATAATTAATCTGTCCATAGTTTAGTAAGCCTTGATTTAATTTAATCCATTTCTGTCGACACGACATCATAGACATACGATTCTCTTATGATCTTATTTTATTGTACTTACTTAAAAACTCTCCTGTACTTACTTAAAAACTCTCTTCAACGCACTCGATCACGAATCCACTTCACAAGCGAAACCATGTCTATATATCAGCCCAACCTTACCTTACCTTACCTTACCTTACCTCGTTAAAGCGATATCCCTGCCTTCATTTGTCCTTACATGTAGCCACATTGTGCAACGCCTCGTTCTCAAACTACTGTATCGATTATGCATAAGTTTAACATTAACTTGTCCAATACGAATAGAAGTTGTACTTACTTTGACATTTGAGAGAGACGAACTGTAGGGAGAATGTAATGAAAAGATAAGGGGTAACGTCGAAGACTCTCGGTAGCCTGAGGCGTAGCCACTTTTATCGGGCTACTGCCAGCTACGAAGCGCAATTTACATTTCTGCTCCATTAAATTTCGCTCGAAAGCTGGACTCTTTGATATAGAGAAGGCATTAAAGGCGGAGGGTGTAACGGTAGCGATGATTGAAGCATTATGCGGTCCTTTATTCAGCCAGGTCCGAGAGGCAAATCTTGCAACAACGGTCGAACAACAAACGCCCGCTTCACTGCATGGAGAAAGGTCGTCGTTTCTGTTCGTTACCGTCTCGACCAACACAGATCAAAGGAGAATACTTCAGATTTGGACTGAGTCCGGATTCGTTATAAGTCGGTTGTAGTACTATATATCTATAGTGCCTACTATATCTAGCCTATAGTGGTATCGATTTTGTTCAGTACGTGTTCGATTTCAGGCTGTAAAAGTAGACAGAGAGGGACAACCTAAGATCAAAAAACGTTCTTGTAGGATCTCAAGTTCCTGCAGAGACAGTATATCGCTATGTATGGTAAAATTGGGCAGGCAGTTGTATCTTGTCAGATATGGTCCATTGCAAAAAGGCTATGTAGGATATTAAAGTAAATTTTCTTCTGTGTGGCTGCTGTTTTACTTGTTGGTGTTTAATTACGTGCGCCTTTTGAACGTATCTAATTGTAACCGGCCGTATAAGCAATGCGACACTCCACAAACCTGTCTAATTATTTCTAGTTATTTTTTAAAACAGGTAAAATATACGTACGTTTATGTGTTGTTGATCATAGTATCATACTTAATTTATCCTGCCAGTGCTAACAACAATATGTTAGCAAGTAATTACGTAGATAGCATCTAAAGGGAACACGTTTCAGTATCATTATTTATGCGCACGTTACAAGACTGATTCTGCTTAATAGCATACGAGAACGACAATTGAGATAAAGGAGTACTGATATTGCTCATGCGTCGCTGTGGGCTTACCGCGCCGTTTGGCCCTACAGTAAACATATTTGAAAATAAATTTATATAGTAGCTCCCCTTAAGGGTCTCTGAGACAATCAATATTGTTAAAGCAATGATCCCATAGTGAACGTCCCAAGCACTTCTTACTCCTTGCAAAAGTCTCCTCTTGCAAAGTCAGCCCGCGTCACCATACCTCTTTGTTTCGGCGTACCACAACATCACGACATAAACCGAACATGCTAGATGGAATGCAAAGCGTTAGTTTATGTAGAATGGAGGAGTTCCTTACCTTGGGTAAGGCCTTGTTTACGTAAAAATAATTATTAAGGGTAAAATCCCAGTAGTAGCTGTGAACTTAGGGATGAATGCGAAGCTTCAGTGAAAGCAAAATCTGACTTAACTTATACCTCAGACATGTTTATTTCAATTGAAAAAAAAAAAAAAATCTAGGAATTCACGAATCTAGAAATTAACGAAGATACCGAATCATTATTATTTAAAAAGAACACTGCGCAAAACACCGTTTTAGATACTTAAGAAGCTGGTTGAACTCCAGGCCTGGCAATGGCACAATAGAGCTCTAGCCGATTCAAAGCATAATTGCCAGTCGAAACGACTCACTTCTTTTAAACAAACACTCTTTGTTTCGTATATTCTTTTTTATAATTTTTTTCTAAAAGCAAAAGTTTGTTCCGCATGAAATTATCTTAAAATAGAAGTTCGCTTCTGTAGGCGGGTCCGATAGTTCTATGTGTGTCACTTCATAGAATAGCGGTCTGTCTCGACACACTAACAAAGACTTGCTGAGAAAATCAACGCCGAGGTGAATTAAAAAGAACATATTAATAAAGGAAAATACTGTTCTTTAATATCAAACAACATAACTGCATTGCATATTTGACATTTGATAACTATTTTACACATGTATGCACATCTTCACAAACATATGCTTTTTTTTTCGAAAGAACCGGGACTTTTTCCCGTAAAAGACAATGCTTATGGTATGGTACGGACTGATGTTGAGTAAATTACGATTAAAAAATGTAATCAAACTAAGTTGGCCCCTTACTTACTACCAGTGAGATTATACTGCACATACACCACTATGATTTCTAACGACAAGGACACGTTTTCTCTGCACTTCGTTCTTCGTTAATGATAAATAAGGTGGTCGTCCCCTACACGAACTAAATACTAAATTAGATCTTTGTTAGTTAACAGATAGCAATACAGTTACCACTTACATGGAACTTGACTTGTTGCTTTTTACTTATAAAGACAGCTTCTGGCAAAGTTTCTCATGCGCCTTCTCTGAAATTCAAATTCGGCGCTTGTTGATCCTAGCCACATGAGTAGATTATTCTTTTATTCTTTCGGCTGTCATATGACGCACTCAGAATAGGATATTTCCTAGAAAAATTGAGAAATTTTTCTAGGAAATATCCTAGAAAATTTTAGGGTTTTGATTTCCATTCTATAACTCGCCATATTAACGCCCCCAAAAAACACGGCAGCATAGGCAGGAAGTCAGGCATCAACCTTATTATTTATTTGTTGAATAGCCCACTTAAGTCTCTGCCGGTATCCCTATCATCAGCGTTATCGGCGTAAACCTTATGCATGTTAAGACCAAATCAATACTTTTAGCTATGCAGGACATTAGCAAGGTAAGAACAGATGGAATAATTAAAAACGCAGAAAACGCAAAGAAATTATTTATAGGAATTCAGCTACGTAGCCTGTATTCACTGGGGCCATTTTGATGAATGGTTTGATGTCTTCTGTTGGTTTTGATATCCCAGGCTTATGAGCAAACACGCGAAAAAAAAATGTAGGACAAGCGCAAAAAATATTCAAGCTTAACGAAGTAGAGAACCGCGGTTGTTGCAAATAAGGCTACTCGAATCTTAGAGACAGGTGTTCTGTCTATTTTGTTTTGGCAGTTTGCTTATGGTTTCAACATATGTGCATAAGTTCCGAGATTCAAAGAGTTCAAAGATAAAGTTAAACAATCCAGTATATAGTCACGCCATGTTCTAGCTTACATCAAATTCATTATAACGAATGGTCAGGAATATGGTTTAAGAAAACAATACATTTCATCCGCCAGCGCTATTATCGTAGAAACAAAGATGTTAATTTTATATTTCAACATATGGATCTAGTGAGAAATGGTTGTTCAGAAATATACCGATACGTTTTCTATTTGAGGGATGAATATTTGTCGAAAAAAAAAAACGAGAATTGGTCATATCCAGTTCTGAATAGACCATCGTGCCGACGCTTTCACTTTCGGGTTTGTCCAGTATTTGCGAATTATGCTGTTGTAACCCAACTTTCACAACGTAAATATCATTGCAATGAGCCTACATAGAATCATCGTCTAAAGCTTTTGCTAATTGGATGCGTATGTGCACAAACTACGTACATGCGATACGTGTCTTTGCATCTTAGCGATGTTCTTTTTCGGTACAGGCTTCGTATTACGTTCTGCTATTATAATCTCTCGATCCCAGACGCCAGTTCGTCGTGCAAATATAGTCCATTTATTTTTTCTGGCTGCCGTAAACATATACTCCCTTTATGTACGTACAATAGCATAGCCCACCGCGAAGGCTCTTTGTACCACATGTCGCATCCGTGTACCTCAGATGTAAGTGGGTTTACCGGAAAGACGTTTACTATTTCCCCCTACCAATCGAATCATCAGCTTAAAGACATATATGCACGAATATGCTGCGACGTATGCACGGGCATATATAGCTGTTTAGTTCTTGGACGTCGTTTTTTGCGGTCCTGAGTGGCTTTCATGTTTGTTGATATGGCCCAATCAGCAAGTTGGATGAACTTTTATGGCCAGATATCGCGGCAGAGATCGTTAGACAACGAATGTGGATGCAAAAAAACCTAGATACGTTCTAAAATGTCAACGTATCTAGCAACTATAGGAATTGCTAGCCAGCAAAATTTTCCCATGTGCCATGCATTTGCAATAAATGTTAATCGTTTCATGCAATTGTTATTTTCAACAGTAGACTGTTTGCTTACAACACAATTGCTCGTATTTATGAGCATGCTGGGACTTTTTTCATAAAACATAGATAGAACATCATAACAATTTTATTCTGGTATACAACAATTGCTTTGTTCACTACAGTTGATCGATTTTCGGGCAGCAGGCCTGCGTTGTGATGATGAAAAAAAAAGCAAGCAGTACTATTAACTGCAATCAGACGTGCTTAGTAACAACGAGGTCAGTTTGTAATATAATTAGCTAGCACACAGTAGATACTACGAAAGTATTAAAGAAATGTGTATAGATATAATCCTTTCGTGACCTTTGACGTGACTGAAAGAAGAAATCAGGCAAACGTTTGCCGTGAAGACGAAAGAAACCTTCCATTTTGATCATGCGTATGTCTTGTAACTTCACATGCAATTAGAAAAAAAAAACGATGATTTTTGAAATCATTTATGGCAGCCAAGCGAAGTTCACCATACTGAGAACGATTATCTTATAAAAAAGCAACGTCAACATACAAGCCAATACAAGCGTTAACGTAACATATACAATTTGTCAACCAGGCGGAAAAAGAAAGCGATGTCAACGTTCATCTCATTACGCAAATGCTGACTGAACCGGCCGTGATCATTGCAACAGGTATATTTGCACGATATATTCATTTGTATTAGGACTAATTATAGTATGACTGTGCTACTGAATTTACTGTGGTATCTATGTTTTTCTACCTTGTAGCCGCGGGGCATGGATAACTGAGACAGGGACAATAAAAGGGGCCACAACGTAAACATTAAGAAGCATTAAACATCGCTTCATTGAAAAGCTATTGCTACAAATAAGTAGGAGGCTATCTCGTTTCAACTATGATATTCTATTTTCGGTATTTCGACGTATGCTTTGTAGTGTGTTGGTTATGAATCACCTTATAGAACAAACACGCTAGCTCTCACAAGATCGCAACTACCATTCAAAACTCCGTCAACCTTACCTTTTGAACTTGCAATTAAGTTAGTCGAAGGCAGCATTAGGTTCTCAGTCTTGAAGAACTGACATCGTGAACAATGCAAGCCTTTGGTACAACGGATTCTCTTTGTTGATTAATGTTTTTCTACATTAATCGGCCGAAGGGGCTCACAGTACTGCAATGACTGCGACTGTGTGTACTAGTAATGGTGGTCATGACACATGAAGATTTGCTCCATAGGCTTTTTATGATCACGCTGAACCAGTTCGTTGCAATGCCTAGAGGCCGTTATAATTGGGTTCGCTTTCAGCTCACGGGGGGGAGAGAATTGTAAATACACGTGCCATTACTAAATAGGTCTTCATACATTGAGGAATAAAGAATGAGTCGGAGCAGTAAAATGACTCTCTGCTAAAAAGCTGCCAATCTTCATGTGTACTTATTAAATAGAGCCAATTACAATAAACCGTTATTGGGTTATGCTCCGAACATAACATGTAACCCTTAGTGTTTGCCAATAACGAGCATAAAGCATTCGGTGTTGTTTCGTAGAGTATGTCCTGTCAATCCCCTGGATTGTTCAGCTGACGACTGAGGCGGTAGCCGGGCTGGTACCAAGCGATTTAGAATTTGGACGTTATAGAAAATATTGTTTGGTGATTCCTCAGACAATTAGCCGCCTATCTATACATGGAGGATGACAGCTGCTACCTAAATGCATCAGGCCACTAAAAGCCTACCTTGAAAAGGAGAGATGTCTTCCATGAAAGAAACTACATGCTTACGATGCTGGAGAGTCATGCAGAGATTGCTTCAATACCAAGCCGAACGCACATTTCACGGACTCCATAGTACATGAGACTCCAGACGCCGGAGCTGCAACGCCACCCAGGCCGACAGCCAATTAAGGAACGAAAACTCACATCAAACTTTTTAGCTTTGATTCTTTGTCAACTTTTTAGCTTTGATTCTTTGTCAGAAGAAAATAAACAACTATACTAAACATTAGATTTATATTTCTAACAAACCGTAATACGTTTCAGATAGAGCAAATGGGAATTGAAAGGCGAGAGACGTTTAGATTTAGCCTAAATTAGTTGCACGTAATGCGCAGACTCAATGCGCAGAAACCATGACTTTCTGTTAGAAAGTCATTGTTTCCACTATTCCTCCAAAACCAAAACGCTTCACGAGCCATATCTAACATACGTGATTAGCAAGTCCAGTAAAAACGAAAATATCTAGTATTATCGCAGCTCGAAATTGGCCATAGGCAAACTTGGTTTTACGCCAGGGACCAGCCGGCTGAACTGATATTTAACAGCAATATTATCCGCAAAAAAAAACCAGCGTACCGCAAATATATTTGAGCTGCACAAGCTTTTCTGTCTGCACGGTATTCTTTCAGGAAAAGGCAACTGAATTTTCCACCAGGTAATAGCTAATAGGTAATTGTTTGTGGACGCAGAAGCAATATATATAATATATGAGGCGGATCATTCTCTTCGTCATAGCGGGCATGTGTTAATTACCTATTCTGGTACGAGAAGGAAGCCATTTTTTCGAGAACAAAAGAGCAGACTTGCCATAGCGAAGCGTGCACCGGTTTGAAGACGTCAGCTATTATCAAATATGTTCGGGTTGAACGAGGTGATAACGAGATGATAGCCGAGTTTGGATCTCACGAAAAAAATCCAATTTAAATAGTCCACTTTACTATGACACTATATTAATTTGGTTATCGTTGAAGGCGCTAAACTTTTAAGTTGCACATTGATAAGACAAACTACCCTCTTTGCGTCATTAAATTTCTGCTTCTCTTTCTCCCTTTCGCTCTGAGACTTCTCGATTACTGAAAGGGTAGCTGAAACGCTTTCACTGAAATCGGGTAATCGATGATTGCCTCCACACCTTTATGAAGTTCGTTCTTGTTGTAGAGTTCACTTCGACCTCTGTTTCTTCTTGCTTCATGTTAGGAGTACTAGAATCAGGACTACTAGGAGTGCTCTGCTCGGGAAATCTTCCCTTTGAATAAATTTCTGACAATTAAAAATTTCTAACAAGAATGGCAAAAAAGCAGCATTCTACATTCTGGTTTCATTGCCAAAAACTGAAGAAAAGCTCGTTTAAAGCTTTCCAGATGACCGGTATAAATAATACATACGATGGGCGTAAAACTGTCTATAAATTCAAAGCATTGACAGAAGACTTGAACAAATAGTAAATATTTTATATACAGACGGGGAAAGCTGTGTATCATTGACTAAGCAAGCCACTCGTCATTAGAACTACAGCTTTTTGCTGTTAATGAATGATGCTTTATGAGGTAACCCGGGCCTGGCGCCTGCAGAAGCTGCATGTACATACATACAACGTTCATATTTTGGTTCTGCGACTCATTTTATAGGTGCCACACTTTTGTCATCTGCTTCAATCGCAATTCTGGAGCCGACTCTCCCAGTATTACTCGGCCATACGTTTAAAACTCCTCGATGGAAAATTGGTAACTATATATGGTTTAGCAATCACTGCCTTCTTTTGTTTAGTTATCGAATTGATACCCAAGTTAGCTTCCGACAAATTGCCAGGCATTGACAAGTCACAAATTAACAGGAAATGCTTGAACCACTATCGTATAATAGAGAAATTGCTCTGTTTTGAAAAAACAGAGCAATGAAACCGCAGTACAGGTAGTTAATTCGAAGATTAGTGTAGCGTACTTAATTTCATGCCGATAATTACTTATGAGGTATTTCGTTAACAGCAGTATTCGAAGTACATAGAACCCTGAAACCGTCAATATTTTCATACGCGTTTCAGTGCGCATATTTGTATATTGTATTTTTTTTTTCGCGTTTTTTTATGCCCTCGATTCCTGCTCATATATGGCGTGTCTACATGGAACGAACGTAATTTAGTGCGTCGATTCAACTTATTTATGCGTAAACGAAAATATGTAATGCATAAGATATTTTTTATATTTGTGAATTGCAGAGTGAATAGACGCCCAAAAATATAGGACTAATGTCATAAATATTTTAATTACAGGTACAGTATTTCTCCCTGACAGCGCCGGCTACTTCATTGGAACGTGTTTCTTCACTACGGTGACTCGCTATCAATCCAAGTTAGACAAATTTATTACTGATAACTTTCTTACAATAGAAAAGAATTCGTAAGGTCGCTATGTAAAGTTTAATTTATTACATCGTTCACGGCGATCTCGCGAATAGATTCATTGAAAAAAATTGATTGAGAAAGAAAAGCATTGAAAAGAATAATCGAAAAATGTCTCCATGCGCGAAGCCAACAGGCACGCGAAATTTCTATGGTATATATTCTAAGGATTGTCCTGTAATGTATCGCATCGCATTTCCTTATCCTACTTAAAACGTCAATAGAAAGTTTGTTGATTGTTTGTAAATAGGATGTTTGTCCTTCTAATGCAAAATGCGGAGCACTCTTGACTTCGTGAATGTTTAATTCGAAAATAATAACTATTGATTAGTATTTCATCAAAAGCATGGCTAAGGTACTATATTGTTTAACGAAGTAAATCCATTACGTTGTCAAGGAAACTTCGGCCTTTGTTTATTCGAAGGCTTTGTCATAATTTTTTTCCTGATTATTAAATTTACCATTTTTTCAAGTTAAGAAGTCTTGTGCGGTGGCAGTGTTTTCAATGCTTATTTGTCTTGCACCGAGAAGCTGCCGAAATAGTTTTGGACTAGCAAATTTTGTTGGACGAGAGTTTAACATCTCAAAGTACCGCTCGAAACTGCTTCGTCACGCTTAGATATGGCATTTTCAGCTTCAAAAGCACGAAGACCGCCCTGAGCCTCTATTTTTTTTGGGAGCAATTTAACCACTTCTTTGACAAGTGTATACTGTGGTTTGTTAAAAAATGTGGTAAACTAATGGCCGGCGATACTGCTCGTACATATATTTAAGAACGCATGGGAACGAACGGATGGAAGTTGCCGTGGATACAAGTCATTTCTACACCAGGAAGAGGGTTTGTGCGAAATTCGACTGTACTTTAGCTACGTTTCTGACGACTCAAAATAGATTTACCTACGCGAGGTAAAAACACTCACGGATAAGCCCTTGCGTCGTACTGATTACCGCAACTGAGGCGTGCGAGACTTCCCAGGGCGGGTGAAATTCAATTTCCCACACTCCTTTTGAAGAAATGTTCGCGATGACGCTTAAAACTAACTAAGAGAGGCTTTTAGCTGCAATATTGGCCGATACAGTACAGGCGGAAGAGAACGTACTCTGTTTCATAGATTTCGCTTTTATTCTTAAGCTCTACTATCTCTTATATAGTAGCATACCTGTTTTACGGATGAATTGCGTGCGAAGTAAGCATTTGGCTTTTTTCAAATACAAATCGGTTCAACGGTGGCACGCACGCGGTACTATCTCGGACATTATGGTCCATTTTTTCCTTGCAAAGGCTAGGTGTTGCCTGGAATGCATCGATTACCGCTAAATGATTTGTTGATGCAAAGAGCTCTCTTAAACTGGGCTAGCGACATTAAATAGTAGCCAATTGCAAAAGCCTATTGCAGAAGAATGGTGTACAGCTCCAGAAAACATTTTCTATGAGAATTATACTTTCAATATGTAATCAGTTGGTTGCAGATGAATCGTTTTAACACTGATATGCCGAGAATCTGTGCACTGAGATGACCAAAGTGGTTTTTTCTGACTTGAACAGAGTTTTGTCAGTGGTTTTCCACAGGATTTTGTCAGACGGCTGCTGCAAAAACATCTTAAGGATGTTAGAAGATGGTTTTTCTAGAGCTGCACCCTCATTAATGGTTCATGGACTTAGATCGAAACAGAATGTATTGAAAAACTTAGCCTTGCCCAATAACCGCTTCTATATTCATCCTTTAGGTGGATATGCCATCCAACGGGTAGGTGTTTGATGTAGCGAAGGAGCCATATAATGACGAGCTCAAAACTTCGATGAATTATAACAGAATCTAGCTCACCTATTACCGACCTAGCGATTAGTGGCATGCGCTTTGACTAAATGCCGTATTTTGTTTTTTTTTTGCCAGCGGCAAAAGTCTCGGCGAGGCAGGTCTTCATCATACCTTTTTTTTTTATTATTTATTATATAAGTGCGGTGATGTTGTGACGGTAAGCGGCGAAATAGCGGACACGATGCACTTTCCTAATGAGATCGCCATTGAATGGTACAGCGGGCCACCACCTGATCGATATGATGAATCACATTTAGCATTGAACTTCGGACTTCCTACTAGCTTGTGCCATAGTACCGGCTTTGGGATTTCTAGAAATGACTATATACTTTAATTACTGTTGATACAAAATGAAACAACTTCCTCCTGTTCCTCCTGCGGTGTAGATAGCAACTACATTCCGTTATCATAAATCTATTTAGGAATCTAACTCACTGGCGACCGAACATGTCTTAGAAATATCGAAAAAAAAAGTGGCTTCATCTGTAATCAGATAATGCTTCGAAGCGCTTCTCTACGTTTTTTCTATCGGAAGCAGAACTTATTTTGTAATGAACTCGACGCAAGCTTAGTGTCTCAATAAAGCCTGCTGAGGCGCAATAGGAAGCCTTAAGATGATGCCTTATAGAAACAAAACAATCATGCAGTATAAAGTGTTATTCAGATCTGCGATATTTTTTACAAATTATGATAAGCACGGGTCTATATGCTTACTAATGATCAATAAGATCAATGCAGGTGTTGTGTCTGCTTGTCGATCATAGAACTGCATTTTTTTGCGTACGATTCAAGTAGACGCTGCTGCCAAGCAACAAATTAACACAACTAACGTCGAAAGCACTGATATCCATAATTCAGACCTGATGATATGAGATGTACGATCATCGTTTAACTAAACAATTTTCTAGTTTTTTCTAATGGCTCACCAACTGTAGCCCAGAGTCATCCGGGTCTTGCCGGTCAAGCAGAGACATGTACACAGTCCAACCTAGACTAGCGCTCAACATTGACCCATCATTTACCCTCTCTAACGTTTACATACGGCTACACATATCTAAAACCTCGTAGAAGCCATTGTTAAGTTGGTAAGAAACTTCTCGCAATTACTTGCCAATACTTGCCTGAAATTGACGAAAGTCTCCTGGCTTCGATGTTGTAAATGTCTGTTTTCCTCGCTAGGAGATGCTCTAACCTATCATATCGCCGAAAATAAGAACCGCACAACTGGTCATGTTCAAACCATGTTTTTCTTTAAATTTTGCAGAGCTTTCTCTATGTTTCTATCTCTACTGGGAATTGGAACGGCACTCTCTTTTGTAAGTTCCTATAATCGATATTATCAAATGAACTGAGGTTACCAACCACACATTTGAATCTATAAAAGCCTTTCTCTTGAAGGCTGGCACAGTGATTAATTATACAGGGCACTTACGTCTCAAAATTTCTCGAAGTTGTGATTCCAAAAACGATCTTTTCTGTTACCGCATACTATTGTATCAGTACCGTTCAGATTTTCGGATACTGACAATGCTACAACTGCTCCATTTCACAGATAGCTCACGTGTCTGCTTTAGGACAACTAGTCGTGCCTCACTTTGTTATTGGCCTTGCCATAGGTAAGTAAAACATTAGCAATCAAGACGTCCATTCTTTTATACTTCTTAATATAAACTAATAATATTTACTGTCTATAATCGCTTCAATCACTAATAATAATTTCTATAATCGCTAAAAGCATGTTAATCTTATTACCTTCTTATATATATAGATCTTATTATATCATTAACAGGATGAAATGGATTCGGTTTAGCATCGTATTGTTTAGTTATTTACAATCAAAATCTGGAATAATTAATAGATTTCAATCGAACTATTTACTGCTAAGTAATACGTATTTTATAATGTTTGCTAACAAGTGACTCCTGTCAAGTGAGACTTTCTCCAATTATTTAACAATTCCCAGTGTGCAATAGTGATTCCGTAGGAACTGGATGTATGTTGTTTTTTTTTTCTAAAAATAATAATATCCTAAAGGAGCTACACAACTAATAGACGACTACATCCCGTCATAAGTAATTCGTTTTGAGATAGATTATTTAGGAAAGCATGGATTAGGTCACTGCATCAAATAAGGGAGAGCACACTGGATCGGACAGAAAATTTTGGGAGCAGTGCCGTTAGTAATTGTAGATTTTTCTTTGAAAAGGGTTCGACTTGTTTTTTTCTCTCATTTATAGTTGTTAACTGTTTATTCACTACAAACTGTAGCTATTTATATTTAATGTTAAGTCATATCAGGAGTTTTCACGAGAATAAGTTCCGACAGCCGGCTTGATGTACAGAGCTCTTTTGGAAGCTTTAATGAATGAATGAATGCTTGACTGCTCGGTTCAGGTAAGTCAGCCATAAGTTTTTAGCCTCACGGCCGTTGACGCATCGGTGTACAGGGAGGAGCGAGCTGATAGCGAATCTATTGGCTGGCATTCATCGACAAAGCAACATCACAGAACCCACTGCTATCCATCCCCAACTTCTCTACCTCCTGTATACTATTTTAGCTTTTGATCACACAGCATTCGTATCTTTGCTAGTGGCCGCATCTGTCACGAAGCCAAGCTAATATAAGGTATGAAATATACTTACAAGGCTCAGGTCTTTTGGATGTAGCTCAGGCGTCTGGCTCATCTACAGCTTCATGTGGCAACTAGGATCACTCATTGTCCTATTCAGCTTCTCTACGAATACTGCTCTCTCAAAACACCTTCTAGGTTTAGTTTTGTCATTTTAAAGGTCTTCATGATGGCAGCGTATAGTGTAGCCTGAACTTGATTTTGAGATGATGTACAAGTGTTCACACAAAAAGGACAATCATGGCAGGTGGTGCTTTGTTGATAAATCAACCTGCAGTAGGTAGATCGTTAGCTTAGTCATTTCGCAATTACTAAGGCGTGTCCCACGTTTGATTGCAGGCTGTACCGATGTGTCAGTCCTTTCGCTGTTAGCCTCATTTGGAGACATTTGGTATCATGAAAGATGCTACTCGATGATCTACGCTTTAAACCAAGCCGCAGTCTGCGCTGCGTATGCACTTGGTAATATAATAGATAGTAATTTATATTCTATTCGGTAAAAATAGACATAGGGGATAAGGCGAAGCTTAAAAGTATTCTGCCTATCAGCAGAGAATAAAACTTACCAACGAAGCTTTCAGAACAAATGTGGGTTACGTACATTGTGTGCTGCGTCGAAATACTTATATTGGCATATTTATAGAATATATCAATCACAAAGCAATCCTTTTATGCTAGTAACAAATGTATGTGTCCCATGTGAGTTCTTTATAAATACAATTTATAGGATCGGGCAATTCGGATGCATATCTAAAGCTCTAGATCGTCGATATTGGACATCAAATGTCAGATACGATAGACTTCAGCTTTTATAATTTATTGATTAGTATATGTCTTTGTGTCCGCACAGGTCCAGCATGGGCGGGCCTCACAATTTGTCCTTTCGGATTTCGCACTTCAATCATTGCTTTAGCCCTGTTGAATATCGCATATGCACCATTCACCTTAACTTTACGGCCTCTAGAAAGAGCTCTTACACGGGTAAGTTGTGTAACAATTCTATTCGTACGCTGGAACCTTAGAAGTAGGTTAACCGTTTGAAGAAGATAGTTTACGACGTTACTACATAACAAGTGGCAGACATTTTATATTCCAGGTTGACTCTACAAACTCATTTAATCCAAGTATACTACCTAGAGCAAAATTTTCGACGATTTTCGTCGCAACTGACCTGCCGTGGTTGTTCCAATATTACCTTTTAATAGCATTTGTTTTGTGGTGCATACTCTTTTCTAACTCTAGCCATCTCGTGTCTCGAACGAAACGAATAAGCCCAAAACATTTGAGCGACACAAATGATCCGACAGGTCTGCTGTTTCAAAGCCCTAAAAACCAACATTTGTCTACGGCAGTCATAGCAACATACAGGCGGCTTATGCGGTCACAAATATTAAATCGCTTCGAGAAGTATAGAATATCAACAATTTCCATTTTGAACAATTCTTTCCATACCGTCGTTGTTCCCTGTAGAGCATTTGTGCTGCCGGCCCAAGGGCGAGAAGGTATTCGGCTGGTCCTTGCGCTAACTTTTCAAAGCAACTATCTGTCAGGTAGTGTTCATTACGACCCTTGCAAAGCAGGAAAGAGAGAGAGAGAGAGGGGGGCATGAAAAGCCGAGCGAAGGCCGCATGTGACGTAGCCTTTGTGTCTTTTACTAGCAAGGCACAGTTCCATACGTTTCGCAAAAATAGCCTACTTCAATTGCTCCTTCTCAACTCAGGCCAAGCTTACCAATTAACTAAAAAAGTTATCTGTTCAGAACTTCTTCTGTTCAGGTCGGTACTTATTGGTTCCATCTGTTCGAAATTAGGTTGAGTTCACTCGGTCCACCCGCTTCCACCACTGGATGGCCCAGCACTTATTTAAGCCGAAGGCAATGAGATGCTTCGGATGCTGGAAGGTTATTGACACTGTCTTAGGTATGGCTTTAGCAAATACTTCCTTTCTAGTCTTAGTCACAAAATGACCTGGATATCAAAGGCACGCATATATTAATATGTATACAAATATATCTGTTCATGGCCATATTCATAGACTAATGTCAGTCGCGGAGCATAAGATGTCGGCGAACAAGACGGTGGCTATACGACTGTGTACGCTTCACGTATAGCATTCTGAGATTGAAGTGACGTTATTCCTTCAGCGACGATGTAGTTAAAAAAAAAAAAAAAAAAGCACTAAGTGGTTTTTGCGGAACTGAAGTGCTAGATTTTTTGATCTATCGATTTTATAATGCGACCTGGTGAACTCTGGCTCGAATCATGTTTTCAAAGGAGCTACCAGTCGATGATCCTTGCTGATGAAAAAATGCCATCGATACGAACGCGTGAAATTTGTGCCCGTATTTGCGTATACCATATTTTCTTTGTCTCTAATTATACGATGTCGAAAACGAACGAACCGGGTGCTTTCATAGATTACTTACTCCCAGGACAGTATCTGTAGCGGTTTATATGGTCCTCACCAGTAACTATTTATACGGTGATTGATGTTAGATAACTAGATGAAGCGCTATATGCTTCCGTATGAAAACGTTTTTTGCTAGAAGCGAAAGTTCGATGCAATTTTCATTTATCTTGCTTGTTATTATACCAAACGGTGATAGAGCTCTTCATTCAAACATTCTGACGATACCATCGTTCTCTTACACTCGTAACAACGGTGGCCGACATCTACGGAATCGCTGCATCAGAAACTTGTTGTTGGTATTACAACCAATTGTAAGTTATGCGCTATAAGCGGGTGACAATTGATGCGAACAAGTTAGAAAAAAAAATTATCTAACAGAAAAGTACTCCAAATACTGGAGTAGCTACAACATTCAAAACAAAATAAGGGCAAAAAGATAATATTTTACTCTGGTATCTAAGTAGGGCATCATTACTCTTATTGACTTCACAGTAAAACGAAGATGTTCTTTGTTAAGCTACACAATATGGGGCTGGAGATAAATGAAAAAGATATTTCCCATAATAGTACCTCTATGATTGTTGGCTAAAAGTAATTTAGACGTCGTGCAACATTAGTCGAAGGTATGATACAGACGTTTTAGAGCTGCCTCTTAATTTCTTTTGTGTGCCGACTAAAAACTTGGCATATCTGGGGAATTTCAGGTTAAATAATTGAGTGTATTATTGCACAGTTCAAATATACAAAAGAAACTTTCAAGTGAATATTTCCTAATTTTTTAGAATTTTAATCACTACTGCTAGTTATTTTAAAGCCGTTTATTGATCGACTGTATTATAAGTATTATAGAATACTTAGTCATAGGATTAAGTTAAGTACGAAAAAGTTGACGGAAATATTTTAACCTTAGCTTTTTTTCATTACTTTCCTATTTTTAGATTCTAAAACGTGCAAAAATACGATGGCCAAATGTTTATAATGAGCAAAGATAGTTTCTCTATGTTTTTCTATCATCCAGTAACCGTTATCTATTTCGCACAGCGAATTCTTTCGTTAAGAATAGACAAGAGGAAACGTTCCAGCTATATAGCACAGTATGCACTCGGTCCCTATTTCTGGACGTAAACCGCTGTTCATTCTACATATCCGTTTGATCTCTAATCTATATAGAACTTACATGCTATTACTTACGTTTGTCTGATCTAGCGCGTCACCGCACCTCCACTCTACGGAGACGTAATTCCTGTAACGGATAAATGGATTAGAGATATACAAGGATTATGTGGATCGCATATGGATGCATTTAACGTGACAGCATTTAGGATAGCGATAGAAGCAAAGATATAATCCATGGCAGTATTTTGAGCCGATTTGCATCACTAACGTAAACTTCCGTCTCTCTTTTTAGGTACATGCCAAAATGGCTGACTCGAAAGATCAGAGCTAGAACAGTGAGCTAAGCACACAAGTTGAGACTGCCTAAAGAAAGAGTATTTGTCAAAAGTTAATTTCATTACTATACAATCTTTTAGCTTCGAAACCAATGTTAGGCAGTACACGACTCTTCTAGTGTCACTTATCTACAACCCTCCTACTTATGCTTCGTTCAAAACCAAGATCTCAAACTTTTCTGCAAATTCCGATGTTTATACAAGAATACTATGTGGAACTTTAATGATTATTGTCACATATAATTTTACCAATGCCGTTTATAGCCGTGTCTAGTTATTTACGTATCCGAACCTTTCTGTTTACCCCCCTTCCCCCAGTAAAGACTATTTGTTTGATTAAATAAAGCAATTTAATTTCATCTCACTCATCAAGTAAAGTGCATTTACTTGACTGATCTATTTCTCTACGAAATGCATGCTCCAGAGTGGATATTTGGGAGTAATAGACGGTGCTGAAAGATATTCCCTGGGCCTGCTGGTTCATAGAGCGAACCAATGGGGCCCTTGCGCTGCATACGTATATGAAGCTCCGAAGTACTCCTTTAGATTTCCTCTCGTTTTTGCCTTTCCTATCGAATGGGATTTTCGTAAAGCAGCGTTTTCCTTTGGCTTGTCAGAGTCTTCCCGCCCGAAATTAATGAATCAGACGGAGCATGCATGGCAGCAGCAGTGGTCGTTATGGGACGTCACGGCCAGATTTAGAAGCTTCGAGCCTGTCAGCTTTAATGAACCGAGGTTCATTTCACCGGAGTTTGCCGCCTAAGTTGCCGCCAGGTTTTCGCTTTTGTCGAAGATTTTAGTTTAACATTATTATACGTGTATAATATGCTCCCATTAGGAACGTACGGAACTCGTCAGTTGTTGTTTACCACAAACAATATTAAATAAATGGATAATGCAGCGCGAAAACAATAAACGAATGGGAACAAAGGTCATACAGTTTTATTTATACATATTTTTGATTCACCACAAAAAACAGTATGCAGAATTTGTGTTCCCAGTCAATTTCCCAGCTTCGAAACATTCGAAGCCCTATTAAGGGTATATGAATTCAAAATTTGTGTGTTAGGTGTTTTTAAATGCAGATTTGTCATTCGGCGTAATTTCAATTGATCTCGATAGCGATTAGGTTTAGATTAGAAAAGAAAAAGGAAACAAAAGACGTCGAAATCCTTTCACTTATTTCAATTTGCAATTCAAAATTTTCCAATCTTTTTCCTTTAAATTGATATTTTTCAAGATATATGGTATTCCGTGCTTATGCTTGATCACTGTTATTTCTAAGTGTAATATCTTGAAATGCTCCAAAAATTCAGATAATCATGCCTAATTTATCTTTTTGACATAAATATATTTTATGTTTCTCTTTAGTAACTACTCTCATACCAAACTCGATCGTAATTCTCGTAAGGTTTACTGCAAACCGTCAGAAACATCGATTCGTTGACACCTTTGCATACTTTTTAGAGCATCGAATATTTATCGAACTATTTATATTTTTGGCTAATTTTAAAATTCATTACGAAAGCATTTTATGCAGATTTAGCGCTAATAGGTTTCAGCCGTAATGCTTAGCGTGTAAACGCTGGCCAAAGGACAATGAGAAGAGAGGCCACAATTTCCAAGAGATGGTAGGCACCTCGATGTGCAGCTGGCTCAGCACGGACGGAGTCAAGTTAAGCCGTAATGATAAACATTTCTTTGAGGCAATAAAAACACTCAAGTTTGTAATTAAGCTGTGTGCAGTTTTTGTGAGTATGTGTCTTTTTTGGATCCAGTTGAATATTAAATTGATATAGAACAAATATTTCAGGTTCATGATGTTTACAGCTGGTCTAAATAAGTAGTCATGCTAAGCCGGAAGTGGTTTTGTAATAAAATTTTAATAACAGCTATGGGGTGTGGTTCAGTTTAGGTATGTGATACAAAACGGTATGAATGGAAAAAAAAATAGAAAAATTTATTACAAAGCCTAGAAAAGGGAATGTTAAAGAAGGTATTTAATTATTGAGAGTGTGGTGTATGTATCTAGCTATGTATAGCTTCAGGCGATAGCGAGCACGTTTAATAGCGGCTTTGTTCAGACTCTCTAGTTAGTCGAATAGCGAATAATATGTATACATGTATGGCTGTATGTGTCGCAAATGTATATAAAGGGTTTTTACTTCACGGACAGCCTTCGCGATTTAAGGGTTTCGGACAATGACAAATTGGTCCTATTAGATCGTTAGTCTTTCCTTTTTATCCCATCCCCACAGTTCGATCTATCAGTTAGGCAAGACTGTCCGTCGGCGAACAAATCCTCTTCACGGATACAGCCTTCATAGGAAGCAGACACAAGATTCAGCGCGTTGTCCCAGCCTCCTCTCAGGCCCGTAATAGGACAATACGCCGCTGGTCATATCGCATCGTGTGATAAAATAAATGAATAGCGACCATTGTTAAGCTATAATCCCGCAGAACGTGCGGGTGGAAGGCGCGGCCTGACTCTGCTGGACCGTGTGCCTATGTAAGATGAATATTGCACAGAAGAAGATAAATAACGTTGCAAAAGTTCACGTGCTGTCGTTACCCTCTAGCTGATCTAGAACAACGGAAATAGTGGTAAAAGGTTATTTAATTGATAAGTATTTTTAGGAATTGACGGTACGCAAAACTGAATAAGCTATTCAGCGTCGGATCAAACACGCAACGACTACGATAAATTGAAGTTTAATAAAATTTAGACTGCAAAGTCAACGTTAGCAGGTGGATTTAAACAGGGAAGTGGCTATTCACAGCATTCTATTCTAAGCAGCAGCTAATATTGGTATCATATTCTAATTATTTAGAATACAGTGCTAGTATCAGTTGGTATGTAAAAATCACGTTTGAGGGAAAAGAAAGGTAGTTAGCTTTTAAAATATGGCCTCTTCTTGATCAAGTTCACCCTGGTACATAAATACTCCATATAAAACCGTGTGAATACGTGATCGACGATATACGATTGAGATGGAAGCAAAAGTAAACGACGTCTAAAAAACACTGTGTAGTAACGGCCAGAACTCTAGGTTACACAAGCTATGTTCCAAGTGTCCCGCATGAAAAAAAAATAAGGTTTCTGTATGAGAAGCCTTAGATAGATAAGTCCGTCAAACTCACCTTGGCTGAACCTTCTAGTCGGGATAAATTTCTTATGCTATACCAAAAAGGTACCTTCTAGGGCTTTATGTAGATGGAATAGCCAAAGGCGTCAAAAATGTTAGCTACAGTGGTAGGTGCTCACCGAACAGAAGCAATACATATTCAAGTCTAGGCACTTCAACTCTATCAATTATGAGAACGACCAACGAAACAAACGAGTAGCCTGTATTCAAAGACAAAAGTACAAAAATTATTACTGGATGCTAACTTTTCAACTATAAACTCTAGCATAGTGGTCACCGGCGAAGAGAAATAAGAGAAACGCGCTATTACATTCCACTTTTGAATCCTCGTATTTGTCAAAATTGAAAGGCCTTGAGTGAGCGGAAGCTGTTGTGATCACCTAGGTTCAGTTGATGTACTGGTTTCAACAGCTGAAAAGGCTAAGGTTGTTGGTTTGAGCTCCGTTAGTGATACAAGCGTAATTAAGTAAAAAGAAAAAATTAACATAATTTGGCATAATAAGGCACTAGTTCATATGAAACGGAATGCGCCTGCGGTCAGTTTCAATGTTAGTTCCCTTACACGGCCTAATCAGAGTGAGAGAACCTAGCGAATAACTATAGTCCCAAGGGCACGAAATAGGACATATATGGGCTGCTTTTGGTGTTATTATTTATATGTTTTTCGATGTTCACTTCGGCTACGTGTATCCTGGTCGTATTCTCACACAGGACAGAAATAGCTCTATCAGTGGATTCAAAATAGTGCATATTCAGTACAACGAACTTTGTATCAGACATGAAAGGTTACCTACCGTTTTGTAGATGCCGACCCGACATTGCGTTCAGTGATGGAATAAAGGGCAAACTTTTCAACGATGACATTTGCAAACAAGGCTCTTCTCAGTCATGTTGGTTACGTGCCCACACATACAAGCAGTAGGGTGATTTAAATTCGACTCGTGTGTAGAAGACCAAACAATACAAGTTCAAAAATGATTCTTTTGTATTGGCTAGGTTTGAGTCATTGGGTGCATGGCTATATCCATGCATCGAACGCCATATGTGGTGTGATCTTGCACTTTGTCGTGTATTCCTCTTCTGTAAAAAAATTGGAAGTTCCAAATTTCAGACTTAAAAGAATTTATCTATGGGAGGTATTGTGGCTTCATCATATATAGGTCAGACGCGTGGTACAATGACGTAGTACATGGCCGTTACATGACCACAATTTTATTGTTCAATTAGCTATAGCGTTAGCAGGAGAATAGTGAAAGTAATAATCAACTAGTAATATTTGCTTTTGGCTGTTATAGTTAACGTTGTTCGTCCTAGTTTTTGCAAGTCTTCAGCAGGTCGCTAATTGTACCTTGGAAGGTCCTCACAGTCTTTGATAGCTGCCGCGATTGCAGGCGTACTTAGATATTTACATACAGGTACAGGTATTTAAACACACTCGACTGTCGTCTGTGACAATATGAGGTTGTAAGCTTTTGCGCTGTGAGAGAGGGTAGCAGGCAAACAATTTATTTTACATTGTTAACCCCCCACTCGCGGCAGAAACGGACGAATCATACAGAGCTGGCGTTTCTTCATCGACTAGTTTGAACCTGAAGATGATGGTCATATAGAGCCCACTTGAAAAAGAGAGAAACGCAGAAAAAAGACATTCGAATCAAGCGCAAGACCGTCGTGGTCCAAACATTGTAGTTTACACCACGAGGACATTTGATTCGCGAAACAATCAAGACAAAACAGCTTGTCGACTTTAAGGAAATAGAGCCGGATGTCTATTTGATACCAACCAAGGCTATCTAGCTACATTTACATGATATCTGTACAGAGGGAATAACTGTTATAGGCTCAGACAACAACCGTATATATGCCTTTACATAGCTTTTTGACACGTAGAGGAATGCCAATATCTAAAAGGAGTGTTATTATTTGTTTCCAGGTTGATTTGTCGTGTTATTTAAGTATATATAGCAATACACATTGGTCTGAGCACTGTAATGTTTGTTAAAACGAAAACTACCGTCCACACTTATCCGGTTGGGGATCTCTTTGACCCTGCGTTCATGGGGGCGCGCGCATATATACAATTCAGCCAACCGTATGGGTCATTTAAATCGCCTTCTGCATTATTTAAACGCTGTCCATTGAAT